AGTTGTTTTGGCCACGCCTAATGTTTTTGCTATCTCTCTGATGGGTTTTTGTTTTTTCAGCCTAATGATGGCATGCTTCACTGATAGTGACAGCTCTTTGGATCTCATCTTGAGAGTTGACAGCAACAGATTCCAAATGCAAATAGCACACTTGAAATGAACTCTGGACCTTTTATCTGCTCATTGTAATTGCGATAATGAGGGAATAACACACACCTGGCCATGGAACAGCTGAGAAGCCAATTGTCCCATTACTTTTGGTCCCTTAACAAGTGGGAGGCATTATGCAAACTGTTGTAATTCCTACATCGTTCACCTGATTTGGATGTAAATACCCTCAAATTAAAGCTGACAGTCTGCAGTTAAAGCACATCTTGTTTGTTTCATTTCAAATCCATTGTGGTGGTGTATAGAGCCAAAAATGTTAGAATTGTGTCGATGTCCCAATATTTATGGACCTGACTGTATTTGCTGTATGCCATAAAGCACAGTGGTTTTTCCTTTGGTGTAGCTGACCCCAATTCTGTTACAGTCACTGTGCCCTCTGGGTGGATTGTTGTCAGCATACAGATGTCTTTTCTGTCTGAGAATTTGACAGCCATCGTTTTCCTCCTGTTAGTAACTGAGAGATGTGTCTCTCTGCAGATGTTGCCTCACCAGCTGCTGTGGAAAATCTTTGCGGTTCTTCTGCATGGTCCTACATGCTCTTGTGTCAGCAGCATGCAGAGATCTAAAAAGTAGCACACTGCTGTAGTTGTTGTCGACATAAAGATAGCAGCCTTGGAGAAGCAGAGGTTGGACCAGCTACCAGACAAGTTTCCCATTGACTCCAAGATTGTCTGGGCAGCCCTGGGGGTTGAGGTGGCTGCCCCGTCCTTCATAGATTAGAAAATCAAATGTATAACCGTTTGTGCTTTTGCACAGTTTGTAAACGTTTATGCCATACCGGGCACGTTTGGCTGGTATGAACTGCTTAAAATGCAGTTGGCCTTTAAAATTCATTAAGGATACATCAATGGAGATATATGTATATGGATGTATAAACAGCTGAAAATTTTTCAGAAAGAAAAGAAATTAGAGGCTTAAATTTAACAGGCGGTCATATCTGGTGTCACTGCTTGGGTGACACTGCGAATTATCATTAAAATGCAAAAATCGCAGCAATACTTCAAAGCGGTCTCTTTAAATAACTGCAGGAAAAGATGGCGTGGATGGGGCTAGAGGTCCAATAGTGCTGAATTTTGGGCTTTCGGACTAAGCCCATGTTGAGTAACACACCCAGTACAATTTTGACTTCTATAAGGTGTATTGGCACCCAACTCTTCCTGTGAGAAGATGTTGGGTGTTGCGCCATAAACTGGGTGGGATAAACATTAGTTTGATTGATATGCTCTAGGAGCTCGTCACTCACGAATACCTTGAAGAAATCCACAGGGTCAAAATTTTCAACATTAATATTTATGCCTGGTGAGGCATTTGAGGGGTGAAAGACCTCGCTGGTATTCACAAAGAGGTGTACTGCTGTGCAGCAACTGATGTGGTGCTACCCTGTGCGTCCTCTTGCTGCCTGCTAGTACTGGGACTTTCATTAAGGATCTCATCAATGGAGATATATGTATATGGATGTATAAACAGCTGAAAATTTTTCAGAAAGAAAAGAAATTAGGGGCTTAAATTTTAACAGGCGGTCATATCTGGTGTCACTGCTTGGGTGACACTGCGAATTATCATTAAAATGCAAAAATCGCAGCACCTCGGAGGAGCTGCCTGAAGTGACACTTTTGCTGTCACAGATGAAATCCTCATCTGAGCTTGACTCAGCTTCACTGTCCAAAAATGGGAGAGCATTTGCCTCTTCAACAGTATACAGCCTTCTTGACATTTTTGTGAAAAAATATACACACTTTACAGACCCCAAACTATACAAAAGTATGCATATATAAAATACAGAAATCTAAAACTTTTTTTTTTTTTTTTTTTTTTTTTAAACACTGACACCATCAACGACACCAACAGCAACACTGATACTGGCCAAAGCACTAACTGTTTTTTTTGTCATCCTAAAATACAGAAATAGACACTAACGGGCACTGACAGAAATGCTGACAGTATGAGCACACACTACACCCCACACACTAAAACAGTAATAATTCTAAAAACATATATATAAAAAAAAATGTATTTTTTTTTTAATATAAAAACAGACACTGATATTAACCAGTGACAGAAACGTTAACGCTGAGACTAACAGTGACAGGAACACTAACGTTGGTACAACAGTGACAGGTGCACTAGTAGTGATAGGAACACGCCGAGAGCACCAACACTAGTGGTGACAGATACACTAATTATTATTATATCACTAACCCTAAAACTGAACTGAAGGTAAGCTATCACTACACTACGCTAACAGGGGTGATCAGAGCCTAATCGGTGAACTACTGTAGGCTGATATTTTATTTGACTTACTTTTCTCAGATCTTTCTCTGAAGAAAAATAACACTATCGCTTTCTCCTCACGATCTGAGGACAAAGATACTAGGAAGCTGTTTGACAGGCTTCCCATTCACGTGCTCACTGTGATTAGCTGTCACAGTGATCACATGACTGGGGACGGGTTCTCCTGCCTGCCAATCATTAGTCCGAAACCTAAAGCTGTCACTGACACTTCAGTGTCGTCGCTGCGGGCACGTGATCGGGCTTGATCCTGGCCAAAAAACACAAGTATGCAAATATGCGGCCCCACGGAAAAAGCCCAGTTCCATGGGGCTGCATATTTGTGTGCTGTCGGCGTCAAGGGGTTAAAACACAGTTGTGCTCAAAAGTTTACATACCCTGGCAGAAATTGTGGCATTGATATTGAAAATATGACTGATCATGCCAAAAAATGCTCTTTAATTGAAGGATGATGATCATATGAAACCATTTGTTATCAACTAGTTGTGTGGCTCATTTTTAAATCATAACAAATCACCCAAATTGGCCATGATCAAAAGTTTACATACCCTGGAATGTTTGGCCTTGGTACAGACACACAAGGTGACACACACAAGTTAAAATGCCAATTAGAGGTTAATGTGCCACATCTGTACCACACCATCTTTTTCCAGAGCAGCCTGTATTTATTTTGAGGTTGCCTGTGGGTTTTTCTTTGAATCGCGGACAATTCTTCTATCAGTTATGGCTGAAATCTTTCTTGGTCGACCTGACCTTGGCTTGGTATCAAGAGATCCCCAAACTTTCCACTTCTTAATAGGCGATTTAACAGTGCTGATTGGCATATTCAAGGCTTTGGACATCTTTTTATGTTCTTTTCCATCTTTATAAAGTTCCATTACTTTGTTACGCAGGACTTTTGACAGTTCTTTTCTGATCCCCATGGCTCAGTATCTAGCCTAGTCAGTGCTTCCACGTAAGAGCTAACAAACCCATTGACTATTTATACACTGACACTAATTGCAATTTAAAAAGCTGCAGATGTGGGACATTAACCTCTAATTGACATTTTAACCCGTGTGTGTCACCTTGTGTGTCTGTACCAAGGCCAAACATTCCAGGGTATGTAAACTTTTGATCATGGCCATTTGGGTGATTTCTGTTATCATTAGGATTTAAAAAGGAGCCAAACAACTATTTAATAAATGGCTTCATATGTTCATCATCCTTCAATAAAAGAGCATTTTTTGGCATGATCAGTCATATTTTCAATATCAATGCCAAACTTTCACAATTTCTGCCAGGGTATGTAAACTTTTGAGCACAACTGTAAAAGCCAGTTTTTGGCATGATTAGTCATATTTTCAATATCAATGCCAACATTTCACAATTTCTGCCAGGGTATGCAAACTTTTGAGCACAACCGTACATATGACACACTACTTATTAAAAAAAAAATAGTTAATTTACCCTTAAAATAACTAAACTCAAAAACAAAAGTTTAGCAGAGTGCAGTTTTCCAGTCCTTAGTTGTGGTGGCTTTTTTGTCAGACTAAGAAAATTTTCACAAATACCAGAAATGCAGTGCTCTTGTCACTTCATGTGAAATTAACTTTAAGCAAAACAATTTTATATCTTTCTGCCTTCTATTAACCACTAATCTGTTAACCACTAATATTAAAGGCAGACATGTTTATCCAGCCTGTGTGACAACCATGCAGATGAATGAGTGTAACCACCCAGGGACCCACGGGATCACCATCTGAAAAGAAAAACTAATGCAGGCACTTCAGCGAAGGAATGGTAAGCTGAAACATATGACATTTTTATATCTAGTTCGGGTACACTTTAACAGAGCTCTTACAGACATGCACAATGTGCATACCCATCCATTGAGCAAAATATTACTCTCCTAATCTTAAAATTTACATACCTCATGGAGCCTGACTGGAATATTTCCAGGACGTTGCTAGAATGTTGCTAAGTGAAGTCTAGTTGGTTCTGCTCACCTCCACCACCACAGGAGTGAGCTCTCAAACACTCAGCTTATAGCTACTACATCAGGGGAGAGAAAGAGCATATAAGGGGGATTGCATCAGAGAAAAAGCTCACTCCTGCGATAGTGCAGGTGAGCAGTAATGACTAGGCCTCACTTAACAACGTTCTACCAACATCCTGGGAGTATTTCAATCAAGCTTTACAAGGTATGTAAATGTCCAACACCAATAGCAAGGACATTATTCAACTTTAGTCAGAGCTGCACAGTTTGTTTTTATCAACAGACATCCCTTACCTGCACAGGCAGTTTTTTGGTAAAGGTGAACTAACCCTTTAAAAATGGTTATACTCGTTCATGCTCAATAAAGCAAAAGTCAACATAAACAATTCCGTATCTGCCTTGTTTGGATCTGATTTTTCTCCATAAATAACTTGACAAAAATCTCTAGCTAGCGGTAATGTGTTCAGCAACAAGCATCTTCACTGTGACAATAGATTTTAGAAACAGACTGGTCACATAAAGTTACAGGTCACAAGCATACTTTGGTATGTTCTCACAGACTTACCAGAAATATTATCAGTGCAACCATAAACCAATTTAAAAAGCTCTTCCACTTTTGTTTCATAAACAGCAAGTCAAAGGCAATGGGAAACCTTAAAAACAAGATAAAATATTACTCTAAACAATTGTCCAACAAGTGTCCCCCCAGTTTTCCTCACAAGCCATATAATAAGGATTAATTAAAAAAACTGTTAAAAATTAAATAGAACAGAAAGTGTTAGCACATTGCCAAATTACCTAGATACAATAATTCATGATTCTAAGAGATAGGGCATACTTGGATCAATGCAAACAGCCTGACTTCAATTGTTAGCTCAAAAGTTAGTCATACATGGCTAAAAATTGAAACTGTGGGTGGCCCTGTCGGCACCACCTAGCACGACAAACTTAGACCAAAAGTAGATGGTGGAAAATTGTCGACTGAAAACTGAGTGAATCTAATCAGAGGCAGTCACTGTTTGGGTATTCTGACAGCCGCCGGTGTTGTTGCTCTCCAAAAACATAGCTGGCAGTGGAGATTTTCCCATCTACTCCGTTTAGTGTGGATGGATGAATCTATAGACGCTTCCCATTCATACCACAGGGCTTAAAGAGAGAAATCAGAGTGTGTATGGCTAACCTAAAAACAAAAGCCCTCAGATTTGATTTGTGCAAGATATAGTCTGTAGAGACAAACATTTACATAAACTGGTGAAATCATTTATAAATCTATCAAACCATTTGTGATGTATAAGGTAATCAATTATTAAAACATACATAGCTTGATCTAGACAAAAAAAAATTACCACTCTCTTGCAACTAGTAAGAAACTTTGAAACAATCTATTCCCAACTGCAATTTGTAGATTAACGTATTAGAATATTGTTAGTTTTATTTTAGACCTAGTGCATACTCCTCTGAGACCATGTTCTGACTGGCAGTCTTGGTCATTCACTAATAACCAGGAGGCAATCAGCGTGTTTACCTTGACATGGTGATCACATGACGTTTGTTTATAAACAAACCTGAAGCTTTCAGCTGTCACTGTACCTCATAGTGCATTACAGCATCAAAAATAAACGTGACAGGAGAAGTAGGGCCAAAGTTCTTCTGGTTCTACTTCTCTTGTAGACCACAGAAGTGCACTTCGTTCTGCACTCCTGTGACCTGTATGACTTTAGCCCATTGTCTGCTGATGACACAGAGCCAGTCCAGACTCAGGAGGGGTCCCGACTGCAGCCAGCCACCTCCTCCACAGCCCAGGACTCCAGTAGGTGGTGGAGAGGCAGAGCAGAGAGCCGATGATTAACAGTTACCGGCTCTCTGCGCAGTGAAGACTGAGATCTGAGCGATCAAAGACTGCTGGTCACTCAGTTCTCAGTTTAGAAGCAGTGGGGGACAGTTGCAGCATCAAATCAATGCTGCATCCACCTGTTAAGTGAAAACAACGCATGTCCCCAAAACAATGTAAAAGATATATAGGTAGAAACATTTATTAATAGTGATTTTTAAAGGATAAGTTCACATTTCATAACATGATACACCCATATTCTGGGTGTAACATGTTATGATCAGACCAGCCCCCACTCCCCCGTTTTGTCAGCTAGCGGGGGATCATCTCCCCCCGTCGCTCTCTATCAAATTTTTTTTAAAAACATGGCCCTGTGGGGCTCCACCCACCCAGCCACGTCACTCATTCATTCTGTGTTCTGTGAATGAGAATCTACAAGTCTTGACAGCCTTAGCAGCTGTCAGCTTGTAGTTCTCAATAAAATACCACGGGGTTGTGGAGTTCCGTGGTAGTTCATTGAATCTTCCTGTCAGTAAGCTGCATATATCCCGTGTCGTATGGGAAAGCAGATATACTGACAGATATGCAGGAGACCTGCATGGCACCAGTGATCTGCTTATCGCTGGTGCAATGGTTTACAGGCTCCTGCAACAAAAAATAATAAAAGCACATTTTTTTTATCTGCAAAAAAATGTGCATTTATTATTTTTTGTATGAAGGTGAACTTCTCCTTTAAGTTAACCAATGCAAGGTGTCACTGCAAAACGTGGTAATAAAAGTCCAGTCATAAAAGTGATAAATATGGATAAACAGTACACATTTCTACTGGAGTCAGCAACAACCTGGATTCTAAATAGTTACTATTGAAAATAATAATTTATTTTCTGAGCCGAAACCTGCCATACAAAGCATTGTAATATTTGACACCAAGGGGCTGTTATGATTCCAACTTTTTCTTAAAATGTTATCTTTATACGATTGTTATTACAATACAGGATTTATATAGTGCCAACAGTTTGTGCAGCACTTTACAATATAAAGGGGAATAGTAAAATTACAATATAGTTCAATACAGAAGGAATGACATTTCCAAAAATAATAGAACACAGTTCTTCGTTCTTAAATGAGCAGAGTGGTAACTGCCTGTGTGATATGGTGGTTGTTTTATTAGAAGTAAAAAAGGTGTCTAACTCCACAACCCACCCCACAGATTGTACAGTTAAAGGGAAGCAGCAGATTGATGAGGTCATGTATTTATATTAGCTGCATTTAAAAAAAACAAAAATAAATTGAATGATTATAATGAATACAAAGTAACCTTAATTTGTATCTTCAATACTATATCAGCCTGGAGTTCAGCTATAATTGGCCAAGTATTCAATAGAGAGTAAAAACTTATGGAAACACACAAATGCAATATACTGGAATTGTTAGGTAGTTTGAGGTCACAAGGTTACATTAGTGATGATGTGTCAACATATAAAAAATAGGGAGTTTCCCTTTGAGGACATAGAGGTTTTTTGTAAAACATACGTAAAAGAGTTTATATGAAGCATATTTTTGTTCCAACTGCTTCTTACCCAAGAACAGCACTAAATGGCCAACCCCAGATAGCTCCAGCAGCCACACCAAGTACCGCCACAGAGATCTTCTCCATATACCAGCCTGTCATGGCTATTACAGTGGTATACATACAGAATGTACTGGGAAGGTAAGCTGCCAAAGGAAAAGCATTTATATTAGCACATGTAGATAAAATTGACCTCAAGAAAAATGTGATACAGCAAAGTTCTTTTACCTACTGTCAAACAGGTATTTGAACATATGACTAAGCAACAAAGGGTGATGGGAGATGTAGTCCCAGAAACTGCTCATTTGTCACAAAGAGCCATTTGCATGCCTATGTAACATTCCCCTAAAGAGGCGCACATGCACTTGTGTAAATTCTGTAGTGCACATTTATGTGTTTTAATGTATGGCACAAGAACTTGTGGTGTATGCACTATGGGCTATGTATCCATTTGTTTTTAATGGCACCCCAATATGCATATGTACACAAAAATAAATACACCACAACGATTGCAATGAAAATGTGTTACCTTTTGGTGCACCGGAGAAAATAAGTTGAGCGCATTTTTGGCCTGTGGAAAATGAATGGGTCTGTTCTATGCAACATGTGTCAACGCACCAAATAAAAAGTGTGAGAATGAAGGGCAGTGTGTCACATAATGAATAATTTCAGAGGGCTTTTATATGTAGAGAAAAAAAAAAATATACTGGGGTATATCAGTATATATTTCAAGCATTGACTGTTTTATTTTCTACCAGAGCGAACTACGTCAGCCCCAAGCCATTTCTGGCACTTTTGTTTACATTTTAAAAGGCAAATTTGTCTATATTTTACTCAAATTTAACAGAACAAAGCATGTGAAATAATAACATGTACAATTAAATGAACAGAAAAACATCACAGGTGTGGCTATGATCCATGTGGATGGATGAAAATGATTCTATACAACAGAGCGAGGATCAATAGCCCATATTACGGCGATATAACAAAACACAGTTTCGGGGGGGGGGGGGGGGGGGTATTCCCAGGCGAGATATATGGAACAAAATGAGAGAACAAGAGTATAAACCCAAACTGACAAAAAGGAGAAAAAAAAAAAAACATAAAAAAAGAGGCCAGTGGTAAGGATAGTGAAGGAGGAGAAGAGAGAGGGTTGGAAGACAGAAACAGCAAAAAGCAGAATCAAGGCGGTTCCCCACCTGTATCCCACAGGAGTGACCCCACCGCCTGACGCAGACCGCAGGGCCCAACCGGCGGACATGCCAAAATGAAAATGAATTGGGGGAGCAAGGCTCAAATCTACTAGGGCACAACAGGGGAACACATATCTCGGAGAAACGAAGAGGAGAAATGGAGCCAGACCGACCAGAGTAACTTATGTTTATCATAGGTATTATTGGCAAATGCCAGCATTTCTCCATACGCATGGTATCATTAAGCACAGAAACCCACATCGGAAGGGGTGGGGGGAGTGGCCGCTTTCCAAACGAGGGGTATCAACTGGCGGGCCGCAGCAGACTTTTCTTCTGCGCTGCCAGTGAGTAATATAGGGAGGAGAGCAATTTCCGGCGAAGGGGCCAAGGACTCACCATAGATCCTATCATATACAGCAAAAACCTGTCGTCAGAAGGGTTGTATTTGATCACAATCCCACCAAATATGTACCAACAGCTCTATTACAGCACCAACAGAGATTAGGTGTAGAAGGAAAAATTTTGTGTAGGGAGAGGGGATCCCTGTACCATCGAGAAAGAAGCTTAAAGTCCTTTTCTTGTGAATAGCAAGAAATAGACGATCTATGAGTGAAGTGGAAGGACGTGGACCAATCCTCAGCTGATATGTCTTTACCCAGGTCTTGAGCCCATGGAGGGAGTTCAGAATGAAGAGCATTGTGTAGCACTTTATAGAGGGAAGCTAGGACATGTCTCAGTGGTTGAGAGAGGGAGCACAGCCATTCAATCACAGAGAGTGGACGAAGAGTGTTGGAGGGAGAGTATAAGTGCTTGCAAAATGAGGATAGATGTAAAGTGGTCAACCAATCCTTAGGCCCACCCTGAAGGAGCGGAAGACCCGATTGGGGGCAGATAAAGTCTTGAGCTACAAGCCAGGAGGCGTGTGTAAAGGGTCCGATAGTAGAAGAGCCCAACCCCTGAGGAAGAGCGGGGGTTATCAAATAGGGGTGATAAGGGAGAGGGATCAGAGGATAAAAGAGCAATGATGCACTGTTTATACCACAACTGCATTGCAGCTAAAGTCAATGAGGACAGGATAGGGAAAACGCCGATAGTCCTGGCTATACCCCCATGGTAATACCCAAGGATCAACCGGAGAAAGTTCTTGTTATATCATACAAGAGGCTTTACGGTAGGGTCTGGGAAACCAATCAAGCATCCGGGCAAGTAACATGGCTCTGTAATATAGCTCAAAGTCCAGTAAACCCACTCCGCCTCTGAGTTTTGGGTAAGTAAGTAACCTGTATTTTAACCTTGAGAACTCATGGTGCTAAATAAATCTAATCGAAAGGGAGCATAGAGAGAGGAAGAAACTCCTAGGGACAGTGATCGGTACAGTCTGAAAAACGTATAGTAACTTAGGTAAGGTATCCATCTTAAGGGTGTTGGTGCGGCCGAACCAGGGCAGGGCTGAAGCGCCCCATGAAGCCAGATCTTTTGAGATACGTGAAAGTAAGGGTAAATAATAAAGGGAATATAGAGCATTGAGATTGGCAGAAATCATGACCCCCAGATACGTAATAGACTTTGGTTGCCATTGATAAGAGAAATTAGAGCATAGATTCGCCAACACATGGGCAGGCAAAGAAATATTCAGGGACTCCGTTTTTAGAGATATTAAGTTTGAAGTTGCTGAAAAAACCAAATCTACAAAATTTGTGGAAAAGACTGGGGAGGGAAATAAGTGGCTGTTGAACGTAAACTAGAAGGTCGTCAGCGTATAAGGATAATTTGTGATGTGCGGAGGGAGTGTGGGATGCCCAAGATTGAGTCATTAGCTCGTACGGCTGTTGCAAGATGTTCCATTACTAAAACAAAGAGAAGAGGTGAGAGGGGACAACCTTGTCTGATCCCATTCGACATGGGTAAGGGCAAAGAAACCGTATCATTCACCAGGACTGACACCAAAGATGATGAGAGTAGAGAGACATAATCTGAGCGAGGAACCGTGAACCCAAACCTATCTGTTCCAGGTTAAGATGGAGAAAATGCCAGTCAACGTGATCGAAGCCTTCTCAGCGTCAAATAAGATGATACGGCTTAAAGGCTTGCCTCCTCTCATTTGACGCTGAGAAGGCTTCAATCACGTTGACTGGCATTTTCTCCATCTTAACCTGGAACGGATAGGTTTGGGTTCACGGTTCCTTGTGGGAACGTAAACGTTATCCACTGTAGAAAACAAAATCTTGGTATTTCAATTTAAGGAAGAGGTAGCGACCAGTTGGATCAACTAGAGAGTCCAAGACCTCTGGGCCGAAGGTATGATGAAAGATCACCAACACCATCAGAGCGAAAATGAGTCTCCTGGAGGAACAAGATCTGCAATCCATGTTTATGGAAATAGAGCATCTGGCTCTGCTTCTCTGGAGTGTTAAAGCCCCTGCAATTAATAAAGGAAAATTTAATTGGAGTAATATTTGTCTGTGGTAGAGCAAATAGTAAAAAAGTGTGTCACCGATAGTGCTCCGCCAAGCTGCCCCCAACCCCACAAGGGAAGAAAAAAAAAAAAACACAATAAGAGGAAAGAAGAAAAGGGGATTGAATAAAGAACTAGCAAGAAAAGGATAAAAAGCCAAGAAAGGAAGAGCAGATAAAGGAGAAAAGTGAGAAGAAGAAACTAATAGACAGGCTAACTAAATAAGCAGTGTGATACTACGCAGTACACTGAAGGCCTAGGTGGGGAACCTCACAGGTGCATGTATCCAATCTCAACACAGGCCTCCCGCAGGCAAATGATAACTTGAGGAAGGTCACCCTCAGATGAGGACAGGTATGAGAAAACAAGCCCCCGCCCCTGACAAATAGACATAAACATAACCCGGCAATGACAGGGTGTTAATAAAACAAATAGTGGGAGGACCCAAAGCCCCCCCCGAGACTAGGGCCGAAGGCGTGCCTGCCCGCCACAGCAAATGGCGGTGGCGGAACCCAGGGATTAGCCTCAAGCCACAGTCCCAGAGCCCAAAAGACAACAGGCACAAATATAAGTCACAGATACAACAGGAGTAACCAACAGAATGTATAAAAACTGTAGGAAGAGGGAGAAAGGGAGAAACCTCCCAATTTACGCAGATCAGGGATCATTCCTCTGGGATCTTTTGGGAGGAGCATCTGGAACGTTTCTTCTTGTTTCAATTGGACCTCTGCCAGAAAGAGGAAAATGGAAGGCCAGGGGTCGGGATTTGGAAGGGCCAGTCCGGAAGGGACACCTGAGGTAGCTCGAAGCACACACCGAGAAATGTAGCCAAGTCCCCAAGGGTGCAGAATTGAGCAGATTTACTGTTCTGTGAGGCGTTAAGTTGAAACGGAAAATGCCACTGGTAGCGGATATGCCTCTCCTGCAACATCTGAGTGAGAGGGCACAGAGCCCTGCACATGGCCAGAGTCTGGCGGGAAAGGCCAAGGAGGAGCACCACCGGCACTTTGTTGAACAGAATGGTGTCTTACGTGCTGGCCGCACGCATACTGGCGTCCTTGACTTTAAAGTAGTGGACCCTGCACAGGGTATCACGAACAAAAGATGGATCAGGGTTCCTGGGGCCCATCATGTGATGTATGCGGTCCAACTCAATATAGGTGTCTTTAAGTTGCTGTAGTAGTTGATTGAAGATGGCGGTAACCGCTGCGGCTAAATCTTTAGATTCAAAAGTTTCTGGTATGCCCTTGATCCGGATATTATTACGGCGGTTTCTGTTCTCAATGTCATCTTGTTGGTATATGAGCTGTTGTATTAAAACAGTATGGGAGTTAAGGGTCTCTTCGTGGGATTGTAAGGCATTACACAGACCGTCAGTGGTATTTTCAATCTCTTCCATAAGCACGCAAATATCTTGTTTAAAGCTCAGAAATTTCTTTTTTGTATGTGCTTTCAATACGTTTCACATAAAGCTCAAAGTCCACCTTTGTAGTAAGAGATTTGATGTAAGTGTGCAAGGACCGCATGTGGGACTGCAGATCCCAGCCATCCTCAGAGCAGAGAGATACTGGAGAAGGGCTGTGAGATCTCTGTGTGCCCTGTGGTCTTAGAACAGGATCCCCAGGAGGAAAGAGAGAGCCCCAAGGGCTTAACTGCCCATCTTCATGGAGCCCTGTATCCACAAGGGACAAGGAGGGGAGAGGTGCCGGTGCCATCTTGGAGGCTGGGGCGCCCAAGACCTCGGCCGAGGATCGGGTCAGGAACTGCACATAAAAGGTTTTTTACCTTAACGCAGAAAATGCATTAAGGTAAAAAAGAAAAAAAAAAAAACTTTAGCCTTTACAGCCACTTTAACTACTACTCTGCCCCAAAATAGAACATTCTTTTACATTGAAGAGAAGCTTTTCTCTAATTACATCACACCTACCAGCAGCTGCAGAAAACATTCCTGTGCTGAGGACTAGGAAAGCCAACATAATTCGCCCAACATGGAGCCCAAACCTTTTACATACAGCCCTAGAAAAGAAATAAGTTAGCTCTTATAGCATATTTCAGACAGATGGGAGAGAAAATGTAAAACAAGAATGTTTTCACTCACTTTTTGAGACTGCTTTATAATTTTTTATGGGCATATACTAAAATTTGTTAGGTCAACTCAACTTCACAACGTAATTATTATAATATTGTCTGGAAAATTAAAGTTTATGAAACTTCACTCATGTAGCAGGATTATTAACATAAATGTGGAATGATCAGTTGTCTTGCTTTCCTCTTCTGCTTCAGTAATATGCCAGTGTCAAAGCTGCACAACCAGCTCTTTAGTCCATTCTTAATGTGCAGTGTTATAGTACAAATTCAAGAAAACAAAGAAATCTTCTGATCCCAATTCTGCACTTGCTGAAGGTCTCTGCCCAAAGCCACACTTTTCTGAAATATTTCATCCCAACTGGGCTTCATGGTTCTCTATGACTAAGCCCAATCAGAGTAAAAAGCATTAAAGAGACATGGCTTTAGTTGGAGACCTTCAGCATGTCAATTCTGGCTGAATAAAACTCATCATGCACGCAACCTCTGAGGAACACCTACAGCGGCATACTGAATGGAGAAGGGCTTTTCTAGGACCAACTTCCTAGCACTGCATACCAGTCACTAATCTGGAAAATAAATCTACAAGATGATTCTTCATACTAATGAACACCATTATGCCCAGCTGCTGCAATACACATAGGTAACCATTAAAGATGATCACATAAATGCCCAGTTATAGCTGCTAGGAAGTGTTTATATGCCAGTTTCTGGGAAGCAGGTTGAAAGAGAACTTTATAATTGGTGCTATCAGGGAGGTTGCTGTATACAGTTGCAAGAAAAAGTATGTGAACCCCTTGGGATTACGTGGAGTTTTGCATGAATTGGGCATAAAATGTGCTCTGAACGTCATCTAAGTCACAACAATAGAAGAACACAGTCTGCTAAACATAATACTACACAAACATTAGATGTTACCATGGTTTAATTGCACATAACATGTAAACATTCACAGTGCAGGGAGGAAAAAGTATGTGAGGCCCTAGTTTAATGACTTATCCCAGAGCTAAGTGGAGCCAGGAGTGAGCCAACCTTGACTCCAATCAGTGTGATGATATTGGATGTGTTGCTGACAGCTGTCCTGCCCTTAAAAAAACACACACCTGATGTGAACCATGCCTCGCAGAAAAGAGCTCTCAGAAGACCTACGATCAAGAATTGTTGACTTGCATGAAGCTGGAAAGTATCTCCAAAAGCCTTGATGTTTATGTGTCCACGGTAAGACAGACTGTCTACAAATGGAGAAAGTTTAGCACTGTTGCTACTCTCCCTAGGCGTGGTCATCCTGTAAAAATGACTGCAAGAGCACAGCGCAGAATGCTGCATGAGGTAAAGAAGAATCCCAGAGTGTCAGCTAAAGACCTACAGAAATCTCTGGCACATGCGAACATTTTTGTTGACACATCTACAATAAGGAAAAAACATTAAACAAGAATGGAGTACATGGGAGGACACTACGGAGGAAGCCATTGCTGTCCAAAAAGAATATTGCAGCACGTTTGAAGTTTGCAAAAGAGCACCTGGATGTTCCACAGCACTACTGGCAAAATATACTGTGGACAGATGAAACCAAGATTGAGTTGTTTGGGAAGAACACACAACACTATGTGTGGAGAAAAAAAAGGCACAGCACACCAACATCAAAACCTCATCCCCACTGTAAAACATGGCGGAGGGAGCATCATGGTTTGGGGCTGCTTTGCTGCCTCAGGTCCTGGACGAATTGTTGTCATTGATGGGAAAATGAATTCCAGAGTTTATCAAGGACATTTTGCAGTAAAACGTATGACCGTCTGTCCACCAACTGAAGCTCAGCAGAGGATGGGTGATGCAACAGGACAATGACCCAAAGCATACAAGTAATTCAACAAAACAATGGCTGCAACAGCACAGAATACGCCTTCTGGAGTGGCCCAGTCAGAGTCCTGACCTCAACCCGATTGAAATGCTGTGGCATGACCTTAAGAGAGCGATTCACACCAGACATCCCAAGAATATTGCTACACTGAAACAGTTTTGTGAAGAGGAGTGGTCCAAAATTACTCCAGATCGTTGTGCAGGTCTGATCTGCAACTACAGGAAACGTTTGGTTGAGGTTATTGCTGCCAAAGGAGGGTCAACCAGTTATTAAGTCCAAAGGTTCACATACTTTTTCCTCCCTGCACTGTGAAGGTTTACATGTTATGTGCAATTAAACCATGGCAACATCTAATGTTTGTGTAGTATTATGTTCAGCAGACTGTGTTCTTCTATTGCTGTGACTTAGATGACGTTCAGAGCACATTTTATGCCCAATTCATACAAAACTCCACGTAATCCCAAGGGGTTCACATACTTTTTCCTGCAACTGTAGATAGATCAAAACCAGCTAATTATTGCTGGCTCCATCATATTTACAGCTGGATTCTAGATCTTAGGAAGCTTTGTCCTGGCCAGTAGGTAAGTTTAGTATATATGAATGTGAAATATCACAGTTTTCAGTATTTCTTTTATAGTTTCAGAAATGTTAAACCCTTTGACCTGGAATAAATGTAATATAAGACACTTACTTGTAGAAATAAAGTTCACACACACAACTAATAAAAGCTAAGAAACATCGTATAAAGTAAAATACGAGAACCTGTGGGAAGAAATGACAAAGAATCAATAAAATGTATTAAACAGCCTACTGCACAAGTACAGCGATTCAAAACAATGTTATAAAAGTGTGACAATTTCAGAATAAGTAATTTTAGATTGTAACAATACTTCACAAATTAAATCCATTAACAAAATATATTACAAATTAAATTATAGGCAATGCGATTATATATTTCAAATTACCAGCATTACTACAAAAATAGAATATTATGCAACATTATTATCCTTCAGCAGTTTGTCACCTAGCAAAAAATAAATCCAAAGAATGGTCCCTGCAATAGAAGACTTTGAATACTTACCTCTGCTCTGGGAGGCCCCACTACATGTTATGATTTTTCCCACTGGCTGCTACGTCTCTACAGACGTAGAGAGCCTGCAGGAGGAACCAGTGAGTGCAGCAGGAACTAAACATTAACACACCCGGATGTGACAAAGGTGGGGATTTTGCCAGAGGCTGTGTCATTTGAGCACAGTGGAGTTTGGACTCACCATGTGCTAGAGAGGTAGGTATTCAGTCTTCTATTGCAGTCCACTTTCTGGATTTTTGGAAGTTAGTGACACAGTTTTAATGTTAGCCTGTATAGACAATTCTGAGGAGAATTAGATTTAACAAGCATTTACAAGACATTTAGAGCAGCCTTGCTGTCAACAGGTTTATAGCTGTATCAGCCAATCAGAGTAGGATTTACAGTACAGTTTCCAGCACTATGACAAATGTACAAATCAGCATTCTGGGGCTTGGAAGGTACAGAAGTAGGTGAGTAAGCTTCTAAGGGTTGTATTTGTGCTGTAGCATGCTCCCAGGGCACACTAAGTGGATTGAACAAGGTCTGAAGAATACCATGGGGAATGTACAACCCTACTGGGACAACTTCAGCTATAGCTAAAAGGACCCTTCAACAAATACACAGAAAAACAGATTATAAAGTAGACTTATACCGAAATATTATAAATCTACATTAAAGTTGTTACTGGGATGAATAAAAAAAGTATCTTGCAAATGTGTGACTGTTGCTTGAATGATTGAGAATGGTGCAGAGTGATCTAATTACCCCAGGTCTTCAGATTTCCACTTAAGATAACATGAAAACCTACCAACCTACCCAACTCCCTTCTGTCTGTATTCTGGTGATCTGGGAACATTCCTGCTTGTGATGCTGGGACATACTTGTGATCTCCTCTCACATACAGTAACAAAATAGCAGTACCAAGAAGCTTCTCATAGCAACCAGATTAACTTTAAAAGTGTAAATGTGACTGGTGATGCAGGAAGCTGAGAGAAGGAAGTTAGGCAAGTCAGCAGATTCCAATCTGCATCAAAAATACAGTATGGATGACAGGCTGTGTTTGGCCTGTTTTGAAAGCAGCAGGTCCTACTGGAGATGGGTTTGCTTTTTAGCCAAAGCAAGTCTAATGCAGCCTTTTTGTGCTTGAACATATGCATTTATTCCCTGAATTCCACAGCCTGGCAATTATGGAAGGTGGTGTGACTTCTGCAATATCTGACTGTTGAGAGTGGCTCTCACAGTGGTCACATGATCAGGTGTCCATCCCGCTGGCTCCTGTTTAGAAGCCTTGACCAAGAGCTGTCTGTAACAGCTCAGTCAGTGTCTTTTAAGTGCATTGTGAGTACGCTCTAAGCACACAAACTCCTGCCACTGTGAATGTATATATGTGTTGGCTGGGAGATAAAGCCAACCTTTCTTACTACTGCATATTTGCAAAAACGCACTTGGCAAGAAGTTAAACCACACTGTTTGAATGCAGTAGCCGGTATTTGATAGCGACACCTTTAAAACAACCCATACTCATCTTCACTTTTATGCTACTCCATTCAACTGCTGAGGCAAAGAAAGTCCCTGGCACTAGGACAGTAAGTGATTCACTCTATGTGACACTGGGCCACTCACCATAACCCTGTGCATGCTATGACTTGAGGAACTTGTAGGTCACACAAAAGCAGTTTCTTCTGCTAAAATAAACAGTAGTATAGTGCAGCGCTAAATAGATAAAATTAAGATCACTGTCAGATTCAATATGTAATTAGAACAGCTCATAATGCCAGTAAACGTATCTTTCTTTGCGGTGCTCCAAAATGAAAAGGACAAATGAGCAAATTATGCGCTTACCAGAAGCGCATGGATCATATGCATTGAAATATCCAAAGCCAGGGGGATCAAGGTAATAGGGTATGCATCTGGGGCACCCGTCTCCAAGCGGGCAGCTCAGCAGTAACTGGGTGATGTGTATTCCAGAGGCCTCCTTTAAGGATCAGCAGGGTCAGCCACCTGATTACAGGAATTCCCCTTCTCTGGATGGTGAAGTACTTCCCAGGGTCTGCATACTTAAAAGCTCAATGAAGGAGCCATAAAGAAAGTGCCCATAGCGTAGTATTGCCAAAGAAAATATTCAATTTATTAAGTAACAAATGACAGTAAAAAGAGGTACACTGAACAATAAATCCAGATGGCCACCGGACCAATAAAAGTCTCCAGCGGCTATATGCCACAGGGTGTTGATTCCTTAGGCCTTTCGTGCGACTGCACGTCTTCAGAGGAATGTCAGTGTTGATCCATGAGCTTCTGGTAAGCGCATAATTTGCTTATTTGTCCTTTCATTTTGCAGCACGCAAAGAAAGATACGTTTACTGGCATTATGAACTGTTCTAATTACATATTGAATCTGACAGTGATCTTAATCTTAATTTTATCTATTTAGCACTGCACTATACTACTGTTTATTTTATACAAGAGGTTTTATATGGTTACCTGAGTGTTCTAGCTGCTATTACAGAGAAGCGCTCACTACTATTTTTTACCTATGAACAGTTTCTTCTGCTGTCTAGGCATGATGTTTTAAATTTTTGTTTTCAATTTGATCCTTTTAGAGCATATAAAACTCAATGAAATATATTTGTTTACTTTAAATAAAATAATTTATTATTTTAGTTCTAGTAGTATTTTCCAGTGCCTCAAACAAAACAAACAAGCGTTACATATACATACACATTTGGTAAAAAAAAAATGTAACATGGTGTGGCCAACATTACACTGATTTTTGTTTCCCTGTGTTTTTTACCAGAGTAAAATACAATATATGATAGAGACTTCTCAGGCTGCACAAGGAAGAGTGGGACTCTGAAGGGGAGAACAGAGAACTTTAGCGAGGAGATCATGACACAGGAGAACTTATAAAATTAGAAACCAATAATCAACGCAGTGCCCTAGTATCCATTTGTAACTATTATATCAATTCTGCATGGTAAATAAAGAATTAAGATGAAACTAAACCCTCCTATCCATAACAGCCAGGGAAGCTGTCACTTTAGCCTTTGTTTGATATGCAGTTGCCATAGTGCTGCACATGTGATCAGTTATGACACCAGCATTTGGTTAGAAAGTTAGACAATTGTGACAGTTGTGGCAGGCCTTGAATGTAACCGTTTTGGGAAACAGGGCTCGTTCACATCATACGTGCAGAAAAACAGATGGAAACTGATGCGCAGATTTCACTTGCAGAGACATCAGTTTTTTATGTTTAAATGAGTTTCCTGCGCAGAAAAAAATCTGCATGTGATACGGTGTGAACAGGGTACCTGGAAAACGATTGATTTAGTTTTGCCCTTGTAGAACACATGCAGAAAAACGGACGTCTCTGCACCAAGGTGTGAACGAGCCCTTAATGGATGGGTTTAGTTCCGCTTTAAATCCAACAGCTGCTAAATGCAGGCCATACATGGGTTGAAATTCGAACACATTTTCTTTTTCGAAACTCATAATTAAGAATTTTCCTTTGGATTTTGCACCAGTACTGGGCCACAGCATCAGTCGATTTTTGCGTGGTCATTGAATTTGAGTGATCAGGTATGTTTAAAATTATTGGAAAATGTTTAATTAATGATGCGAGGAAAATAATAGAAAAAGAAATGAGCATGAGCTGTGACCTGGAAATAAAAAAATAATCCCAGCCATGAAAATGCTTTTCTGTAACAACGTGAGGTGAAATTGAAGGCTTGGTTGGTCAGATTTCTAAATCATGGTGGCCCCATCGGATTACAAAATCCATGAAATGTCTGATTTTTCAAAAGAAAATTAGTTCAGAATTCGACTCAGGTATGGCCTGCAAAACTCTCAAACATTTGTGTATATAAATTAAAAATAAATCATGACTTGCCTTGTTTGCCTGAAGGATGTTTGCATGGAACCAAGCAGGTAATGCATGTAACCAAAGGTAAGCATAAGAGCGTATGGCATAGGCTGGAGAATATTCCCATGTTTGAAATCCTTTGCCATAAACGAGGTAGTGAGTCTTCATGAAAACATATAAAAAAAAAAAAAAAAGGTAAGTGAAACTGTCCTTGACCTATACTTTGATATAATACAAAAATCAAGGAACAGACATCTTCAAATACAAAAAATTAGATGCACTTCCATCGCTGCCTCCCTGTTGCAGGAGTCTACCAGTAACAGGTGGTTTCAGAGGTTAGCCTGGTGAATGGCATCACTAAGTGTTGCTCACACTTGCCCTGCTTTACTACATATAGGCTTCAGGGACGATTGACCCCTCAGGCTCAAGAGGTTTCACATGGGGGAGGTCACATACTACCATGCACCCGAAGTCCTATTCCATTGCATTGACAAAGCGTTGATGGGTGAATTTACCCTGATAGGTGGGGGGTGGACTATCAGGATGCAATGTAACATCGCTCTGAATAGTAACAGGGTCTTTTTAACCATGTTCAGACGAGCTGCAGAATAAGGAAGCCACTAGGATCTGTGTACACCATGTGGAACTGGCCATACATGGTTCAGTTTTCAGACTGAACGAAAAAACTGGAAAGATTCCCCCATCCACACATTTGATGTGGATGGGGAAATCCTCCCCACTGCGCTATTGTATTTGGACAGCAGGGAGATACCCACGCTGTCTGAATACACAGATCTGCACTTGTATCCAACAGGGCAATTGAACAGAAGATCTCGGCTAAGTAGAGTACAAGCAAGTATGTCTAGAAAAAAGCTGGAGAAGGGAGCCAGAAATGATTAGACGTCCTTCTCCTTTAACAACACTTATATCATTATGTGGTGGTTTTGCCAGTGTTGAAAGTGATTCTAAAGGCTTATTTTTGTTTTTTTAAAGAAAAAATAACAAACATGTCTATACTTACCTGCTATGTGCAGTGGTTTTGCACAAAGCAGCCCGGATCCTCTTTTTCTTAGGTTCCGTGCAGGCTATCCTGGCCCCTCCCTGCCATCGGGTGCCCCCACAGCAAGCAGCTTGATATGGGGGCACCTGCTGCTCTGTCAATTCATCCACAGAGCCGCGGCTCAGCCCCACCCCCTCACTCTTCTTATTGGCTCACTGGCTGTGACTGACAGCAGTGGGAACAAATGGCTCCCGTTTCTGTCTCAGCCACAGGGAAGAAGAAGTCCAGAGATAGCCAAGATTCCAGTGTATATCGCTAGATCAAGAGGGGGCTTAGGTTAGTATTGAGAGGGGTGCTGGGTGGGATGCTGCACAGGGAAGGTTTTTTACCCTCATGTATAGAATGCATGAAGGTAAAAAACCTTGAGCCTTTAGAACCACTTTAAAGGATAAGTTCACCTATCATAACAAGTTAAACCCATATTCAGGGTGTAACTTGTTAAGAAAGGACTGGCCCCAGCTCCTCCCCTGCTTTGACAGCTGTCAAATTTAAAACAAAAAGGTGGCCATCCGGTGCTCTGCCCACCTGGCCGTGTAACACATTCACAGTCCTCTGCGAATGAGAAAAATACAAGCCCCGACAGTCTAAGAAGTTGTTGGCTTGTAGTTATTAAACTAGCATGGCGCTGTGGAGTACTGTGGCAGTTAATTGAGACTACATGTCAGTACATCTGCGTACATCCCATACAGGAAAGCAGATATACTGACAGGTCTGCAGGAGATCTGCTGATTGCTGGTAGCAATGCTTTACAGGCTCCTGCAACAAAGATAATAAATGCACATTTTATTACCTGCAAAAAATGTGTATTTATTATTGTTTTGCCAAAAGGTGAATTCATCCATTAGGACAACCCAATACAAGACGTAATTTTCCTTAAAACGTTCTATATAGAAATCAGCCATTAAATCAATGTGACAAAAGTAGCCCAAGCATTCAGGACTGTATTTTCTGTACTCACAGGCTCCCAGTAATTGAAGGTTTCATCGCAGTCTGAGATATTACTGAGAAGAGCTGCACAAAATCTAGCAGATATTAGGCATTTAAATGCAGTAGCTCCTTCTGGTGCCCACACCTGGCCCGCTTTACTACATGTTGACCTAAAAAATAAAAAAACAAACTATATATTGGCCCAAATAAATGTAAAATGTACTTTGCTTCATTTTCTAAAAAAAAAAAAAGTTCTTATAATAGCATTTTAACAAATGTGAATACTGTGTACAGGTTTGAGACATTCAACTACGATACACTCAACACCAAAACTACCAGGGCAGGAAAGGACATATAGCACTTTGCACATGGCAAAGGTTATTAACCCAGTGAATATTTCTGTTGTAATATCATAACAAAAACATACAAAACAAAGAAAATAATAACTTATATACACGTATTTTACTCATTAAAAATGAAGAGTGTTTGGAAAGCATATGCAAACAAATAAGGGGTAAATAATATTAATAATAATAAATGTATTTAAAGCCAAACTTCAGGTATTAAGCCACTTTGTAAAATGTGCTGGATTACTATAGATTAAGTCCAACGAGGTGCATGCTACTTATCTGTAATTTACAGTTTACTGAGCACTGGGAGCATAGCTATCGCTATACTTTCAGCATTCCACCCTTCTGGTCACAGCTTCTGTAGCTGCAGTTACATGCAGCTGCTGTGCCCACCCCTCCTTCCTGCTATATCACAGAATGCTTTGTATCACGTGAACCCATTTACAATATACAAAGTCTTCAGTGAATGAACAGCAGAGGGACGCAGTAGAGATTGCAGAACTGCGGTGTGTGAAAAGACAGGATGACTCCTGTCAGAGTGCCAGGAGTGTTGTAATAGACATAATCCAGGTGCTAAGTAAAAGTGTCAGACGTAAATAAAAGAGATAAGTCCACAAGGTGGCATTCACTTCCTTGGAGTTAACATGTAGTAAACCAGCAGAATTTACATAGTTCTGAATTCCTGGAGTTCAGCCTCAAGGACATTAGAGATAAAATCACCAACATAGGCACCGCCCTATAGCGGAAATACTGCTGCAGGGTGTCACAAGTGCGTAAAATTATATCTATAAAAGTGATTTTGCAGTTCCGGGAAGGGGGCGCGTGCACCCTACCCGCGCTGCCATTCGCGGCCTCGTCTGTCAATTACAGGGACCTAGACAGTGAATACTCGCGGCACTCGGTGATCTCCGAGTATCTCCCACAGGGAAGAGACCTGTATGTAAACAACACAGATATCTCCCTTCAGCTCACTGCTTTGTATGGCTCTGCATAGCAAAGCCGTGCACTTGCAGTAAAGCACACACACAGACCCTATAGTGAAACAGCACACAGTTAACCCTTTGATCGCCCCAGATGTTAACCCCTTCATGCCCAGTGCCCTTAGCACTGATCACTTTATTGGTGTCACTGGGGATGTAAGTTGCTGATTGCCGCCATTACTAGTAAAAAAAAAAAATAAAATTCCAGTATATATCGCCATTTGTAAACTCTATACATTTCATGTAAACCAATTTACATGTATTGGGATTTTTTTTAGCAAAGATATGCAGCAGATTTCATTTTGGCATAAATTTACGACAAAATTTGATTTTTAAAATTTTTTTACTGAACATATTTAATAGCAAAAATTCAAAAATAGTTTTTTCCTCAAAATTGTCTGTTTTTTTATTTATAACGCAAAAAATTAAAAACCACACATGATATCAAATACCACCAAAAGAAAGCTCTATTTGTGGGAAAAAAGGAAGTAAATTTCATTTGGGTGCAGCATTGCAAGACCACGCAATTGTCAGTTAAAGTAACGCAGTGCCGTTTCGCAAAAAATGGCCTGGTCAGGAAAGGGGGTAGGTCCTCTGGAGGGCAAATGGTTGAAGGAGTGCTAAATAAAACAATCAACCCATGCTGTAAAACGCTTTGTACCCTAAACCTTGTGAGAATACTCTCATACACTTTAGGTAGTTTTGAGATACTCAGCCCTGGTCCTCTTCACAGCACTGAACTTACAGCACTGTGGAGGTTAACAGCTACTCACCGCTTTCTCCTCTCTCCTCCCTGACAAAAGTCCCCCAGGCATAACTATCTTTATATGATTTTAATACTGCTTTCCTACCTTCACAGAATATGTCATCCATCTTCTGGTTCGCTCTGTAGTTTTACAGAAATAAGAAGGTACATTTGTTGAATCACAGGGTTAAATCCCTATGATTTCCATTTTGTAAGACTGGCGGCCGCTATGCTTTGAATTTCCCAGGCCACCAGTCTTGTCGTATCACTGCTGTAGTTCATTACAGCAAGCAGTCATGCAATTCCATCCCTGCTCTCTGTAGTGGGGAGACCAGGAATCTGAGACTCCCGATCTGAACTTCCTATGGAGGCAACAGGCAGATGACTCCTAGGTTGTCCCGCCTCCCATGTCCTCCTATAGTAAATCACAGGCCAGGAGTCTCTGCCCCTCCTACCTTTTACTAACAATATATACACACTATATTGCTAAATATATTGGGCCAGCCCTCCAAATCACTGGATTCAGGTGTTCCAATCACCTCCATGGCCACATGTGTATAAACTCAAGCACCTAGGCATGCAGACTGCTTCTACAAACATTTGTGAAAGAATGGGTCACTCTCAGGAGCTCAGTGAATTCAAGCGTGGTGCCATGATTGGTTGCCACCTGTGCAATAAGTCCATCTGTGAAATTTCCTTGTTACTAAATATTCCATAGTCAACTGTTAGTGGTATTATAACAAAGTGGAAACAACTGGGAACAGCAGCAACTCAGCCATGCAAAATGACAGAGTGCAGTCAGTGAAAGCTGAAGTGCACAGTAATCGCCAACTATCTGCAGAGCCAATAATTAAAGATCTCCAAACTTCATGTGGCCTTCAGATTAGCACAACAACAGTGTGTAGAGAGCTTCATGGAATGGGTTTCCAAGACCAAGCAGCTGCATCCAAGCCTTACATCACCAAGTACAAAGCAAAGCGTTGGATGCAGTGGACTTTTTTTTTCTTTTACATTCAGCCCTGCTACAGGCAAGCAGCTAGGCTGAGTTGATGATCGACTCTCTGGAAAAAGCATTCCGAACAGCTTACTAGCCACCGGATCGCTTTCTTAAGTGGCAGGAGGAAGGGAACGTTCCCCCCCCCCCCCCCCCTGTGCCGCCGCCTCCTCCTAAACACAGACACCGTGGGATTGAGCTAAGGGTCTCCCCCTCCTACCTCCTCCACGTGAGGATAGTCCTGCCCTCCAAGATGTCATCGTCAGATCAAGCAGAGGGCATACCCCCACTTCCGTGTAAACTGCACATTGCTGGGGCCACTAGTGCAGCTCTGGAGAGGAGCTCTGCCACCCTCTACAGGCCGGTATGTGTATGCACCCCCACATTTTCCCATTCACCATATAATAGCACATATCTGTCTGCCCTCCTAGAAGAAAACATTGATGGGAAGGCAGGAGATTGTCCTACAAAGAGGTGCTGATGACCCAACTTATACTATCAGATCACATTGCAACATCTAATATGGCATTCATCATGAGGATTATAGTGTTCTGTGAATGTGAAAACAACAGGTACCAACAGGCTTTGCGGCTGTTGGCTTGTAGTTCTCAATGAACTACCAGGGCACTGTTGAGCTCTCTAGGTAGTCAACGGAGCTTCCTGTCATTGTGTAACTGCCTGCCTGTACCAGAGGTACCAGAAGACAGCTACACAGATAGTCTGCAGGATCGTGGCATTACATTCGTGATCTGCTGATTATAGCTGCAATGCTTTACAGGCACCTAATAATAAAAATACATTTATATTTTTTTACCTACAAAAAACTGTGCGTTTATTATTTTTGTAAAAGTGAACTTATCCTTTAATGGAGTGGAGACGGCACCTAATTTGGATGCTCAGAATGTGCTTGTAGTGAACATATATATAATAGTAACACCAATGCTTCCGTATGCAAGGGTAACCTGAAGGAATAAAGTTTTGGGGGTTTTTGCTCATTGGGGCTGACACCACATTTACTTGTTCAGCAGATGCACTTCTGCAAAGCGTTAAAAGAGCCTGGCACGCCCCTTTCCTGTCGAACACCAAATCTGTGCTCGTCACACTGCAAGGTCTCTCCTCTCCCTGCTAGTCCCAGGGAGCGGTGTTGGAGACAGTCAGGTAGGGGAGGAGGAGATAAACAGCGCAATGTTAAAAACATTACAAGATGAAGTAACCATAAAGCCTCTTTCGTTTTTAACAAAAGCACCTCTGCCTAATACAAAACATCAACCCTTGATATTTTCCATCCTAGGGAAAAAAAAATGTTTCTATCAAGACAAGTAGATTGTCATGAGAGTCAAGTAGATTGGGACCCCGATTTAGTCCTTGGACAAGTAATTTTTTTTTTTTTAATTTCCACACCCCTGTATCCAAATCAGTTTTCCCACTGAAGACCGATGAAGTCTAAGGGCCACGCATCATATCAAAGGGCCGCAGGTTGGGCATCGGGGGTATAGAGTTAGAATGGAGGATGGCATCTGCCTGCATTTACACCTCCTCCTCTGCATCACAAAAGCTGCTATTTCTTTTTTAAATTAAAGAGATGATGTAATGAAATTTCCACTTGACTTTTTTCCTTAAGGACCAGTTCACACTGCATGCATTTCAGTTGCTTTTTTCTGCATCCAAAACGCACAGAAAGTAGGTTATATGGTTGTCAATGTCATAGTTCACATCATTGTCGGCAGTTCCAGTGCGTTCCGGAGGCAGAAAAAAAAAAAAAAAAAGAGTAGAACAGGCTTCATTTTTGCCACACAGAACTTTAACAAGGTAAGATGCATCAAAAATGCACCAATAACGCACCAGAACACACATTCCTATTTAAATTGAAAAAGAGAGGGGAAAAAGTGAACTGGGACGCATTAAAAAAAACCAAAACACCGGAATGTGTCAAAAACGCACCCAAAACACGCCAAAAACGCGCATGCAGAAACATCCAGAATGCATCTGGACTGCGTTTCTATAGGGTGAACCCTAACAGTGTGGGTTTTTAACACTTTAGTGTATTATTCCGGTTGGTTTACTTATTGAAGATTTTGTGGGTAACCCAGAGTTCTTATTTAAAGTGGTTGTAAACCTCAGACATGAAATCTGAACAAAGTAAGTCCCCCTACAGTGTGTACTTGTCTCAATTAAGAGCACCAAGTGTCATTTCTCTTTGCTGCTTCATTCCTCTGCTATCAACATGAATCACTTCTGACAAGTTTCCTGACACAAAAAGAAAAATAGTGACAGGGGAGGGATCTCCAGCACAATGACAGCCTCAGCTCTGTTCCTGTGTGCTGTGTGGAGGGGGGGGGGGTCCTCTTCCCTCCAATCAGCTCTGTAGGGTAACTTTAGCTGTTTGCCCCCTTTGTTCTGAACTCTCAGACAAGCCTTATACATTCTGGACTTTGAACGACTGTAGAGAAGAACTGCAGATAAACAGGTACAACTTATGTAGGGGGATTTGTTTCATCTGTGTGTATCACTACGCTAGGTATATGTAAGGGATTACAACACTGTGTTTAGATCCCTAAAGGTCACCTCATAGGCTCACATTTAGGGCCAGTTCACACTACAGGAGTTTCAGTGTGCTGGGGTTTTTTTTTTTTGCATCCAAAATGCGCAAAAAGTAGGTTATATGGTTGTCAATGTCATAGTTCACATCAGTGCTTGCAGTTCTAATTCGTTCTGTATGCACAAGATAAAAAAATTAGAACAGAATTCATTTTTCCTGCACAGAACTGTACTGGAACGCGGTAAAACGCATCAAAAATGCACCAGAACACACTGGAATGCAGGTCACTGCATTGACGAAAAACGAGTCTGGAAAAAACCGCGCATGCAGGAACGCATCATCTGGACTGCGTTTCTATAGAGTGAACTGGCCCTTAATGGAATGGAAATAGTTTTGTGTGTGTCTTAGAACTCATTCACACTGCAGAAAAATGCTGTGTTTAGACACACACTGCAGAGAGTTTTGGACGGATCTAAACGTAGCAATGAGATCATACACACAGCTTGCAACAGATTTCTATGAGAGGAACTATGCAGCAGCTTTGGCCCCCGGGCAGGGACATACGCCTGAATTTTACAGCATATGGCCGAATGTGTGGGGCTATTTCCCTTTAACGCCTTGTCAAGGAAGAAGGCGCTAAAGGGAAATTTCCCAATGGGGGCAACTGTCTACAAAGAGATTTCTTACTTCCTGTTGTGTCTCCTTAGGCAGGAAGTGCAGAAAAATCTCCCCAGCAAGACACAGCCAGGAGAGAGAATAACCTGAAGGGGAGGGATATAACCCTTCTCTGTCCAAAACTAGGATGCAAGGTGCAGGCTATACACAGACATTAAGCCCCGACACACATGAACAGAGGGGTGGAAATAGAATAAATAGAAGAGGAAAGTTGAAGTGTTTTTTGGTGTCAGTATAAAAAATGTCATTCCAACTATTTTTACACCGCATTTAATACACCCTTATCATGGAAGGCGCCCTCCCCCCAATACCTGCCCCTCATTCATGTGTGTGAGGTGCCCCATCACTGGACACAAACACATGTGCACTCCATCTCTACTTGTATTCTATGGCTAGAGAAGCAGAGAACCGCCATTCCCACACTAAGCATGCGTGTCATACAAAGAGCTGCCCTCACTCGGCTCGGTGCTCGGACACCCGGCTTTCTTCTCTTTGCTTTCCGCTATTATCCTCCCTTTCACCACCACCGGTTCCTTTGCTTCTCTGCCGAGCCCCCTTAGACGCCATTACTGTCGTGGGCAACTGAACTCACTTCCGGGTGACAGGACCCCTTTGAAAGCAGCCGGACGCCATTTTTCCTTCTGGAAGAATAGCGCATGCGCGTAGTACTGGGGTTTTCACTGACGTGTATAGAGAAGCTGCAGTGCTGAATAGATTTCCAACAGACGTCAGAGCTGATTTTATTAGGTTATTACTGAAAAACTAAAGACATGCTCCATGTCCTCACCTGTACAAAAATGTTCTGTGTTAGAAAGGAGGTCTAATCAAAATAAAAGCCAGCAACTACAAAAACTTTAGCTGCTGAATTTAAAAAAACAAACACCTGTATCCCCAGCGCCAGCATCTTCATTGTGGGCACCCGGCTGTAAAAACTTGTGGCTTCACAGCCGGGTGCCCACTGCACATGTGCGAGTAGCGCTGCACCTTGTGAATGGTCCCGTAGTCTTCTGGGACCTGTCATGTGTCCCAGGAGACTATGGGCGGGAGGACAATTTCCACTTTTGAAGTGGGAGCAGGTGCCTGTCAAATTCAGGTACCCGCTCCCCAAAAGGTGCAAATAGTATATTAGCAAGTGAACATGTTGTCCTTGAAGTTGATGAGTAGAAAAAAATGGGAAATTGTAAGGATTTGAGTAACTTTGACAAGTCCCAAATTGTAGCGATTGGACGACTGGGTCAGATCATCTGCAAAACTGAAGCTCTTGTGGATGTTCCCAGTCTGCATTGGTCAAGCCTGATCAAAAGTGGTCCAAGGAAGGAAAACTGGTGAAAGGGTCATGAGTGGTGAAGTCTGGCCAATGTAGTCCGATTCAATGGAAGAGCTGCTGCAACTCACATTGCTAAAAAAGTGAATGCTAGATCAAATAGAAAGAGGTCAGAACACACAGTGCATTGCCATTTGTTGCATATGGGGTTGCGTAGTCGCAGACTGGTGAAGGTGCCCATACTGACCCGTGTCCACAGCCAAAAGAACCTACAATGGGCACATAAGCATCAAAACTGGACCACAAAACAATGGAAGAACGTGGCCTGGTGTGATGAATCATGTTTTCTTTATATCATGTGGATGGCCGGATGCACATGCGTTGCTTACCTGAGAAATGGATGGTACCAGGATGCAATATAGGAAAAAAGGCCAATCAGCAGCAGCTTAACTACTTCCTGTCCGGACACTTTTACCCCCTCCCTGTCCAGGGCAATTTTCAGCTTTCAGCGCTATCGCACTTTGAATGACAATTGCCTGGTCATGCAACACTGTACCCATATGAATTTTTTACCATTTTATTGAGACAGATAAAGCTTTATTTTGGTGGTATTTATTCACCGCTGGGATTTTAATTTTTTTTGCTATGTAAATGAAAAAGTCCACAAATTTTGAAAAAAAGTGTTTTTCTTATAAAATTTTGCAAATAAATAATCTTTCATCATAAATCTTGGCCGAAATGTATTCCGTTATCTTTTTAGTAAAAAAGAAATAAGACAAATTATTTTTAACCAAAAATTATAATTTTTAAACATTTTTTTTACATTTTTATTTTATTTTTTTATATTATTATGTTTTTTGTTTTTTTTACATACTGTCACCCTAGCAGTACAGTGTCACCATGGTGACACTGTACTACTTGTGGGGGGTGATGAAGATTTTTTTTTTTTTTTTTTTTTACAGTGATTGCTTTTACACCCATATAGGATGTAAAATCAATCATTTCTCTTTCTCTCTGTCTGCATTCTTGCAGCCATTGAGAAATACTGAGTGAGCTGTGATTGGTAACAGCTTATCACATGGTACAAGGCTGTTGTAAATAGCCTTGTACCATGTGACCTCTGTGATCATTCACAGATTTCAAACGTAGTAAGCAATGATGTCACAAGTGACATCTTGCTTACTACTTTACATGTGATCACTGATTGGCCTATCAGTGATCACATGATCGGGACCTCGTACAGAGGTCCCGTCTGACGATCGGTGTTTCACTGTGTCCGGAGGACACAGCGGGCACCGGATCGAGGTGCTGCGCACTCCCAGGGAGCGTGCACAGCTAGAAAAGGCGGGTGCCGTTTATGAACGGCCAACCCGCCCCTGGAGTGCCACCGTGCTGCCGTTTATAAACAGCAGGCGGACGGAAAGTGGTTAAAGGACCTACTACTGACAGCTTGGTGCCAGATACCACAGCATATCTTCAGAGGTCTAGTAGTGTCCATGCCTTGACAGGCATCAAAAGAGGGACCTACTCAATATTAGGTGGGTGGTTATAATATTATGGGTGATCAGTATATTTCCTCCTGCTTTCTATTAACAAATCAGCAATTGCCATAGCACCCTTTGAACTCTATGTCTTTTACAGTGAGGTGTGGTTTAGAAGATAAAAAGCCCTGTTAAAGATAGTGCATGTTTCTTTTCTGGTGCTTTAGAAAGCCCATTCAAATTAATAGACTGCTGGAACACAATGAACTTTAACGCATGGCATAATGCATGTTAACACACTGCAAAGATGTAAGTGGGTCGAAATGGTAAAGAGTAGGGTTGCACAGACACCCTTTTTTTATCGGCGAGTATGATTACGCACCAATACCAGGTACCGATACTTAACGTGATTTGCTTCCATACAAAATGAATGGGCACAAATCACATTGCAAAGAATAGCATGCAATCTGAATAAGAATACAGTGTGATTCCTGTCCAAATCACATGCGGTTTCCCCACCGCTCCTGTGTGAACCCAGGCTTGTCATAGACAGAGGTCACACAGGAGTGGTGCGTAAAACCTCCTTGCACAGATCCATTCCTTTCACACAACGAAGAGCCGCTTCACAGGTCTGGAGATTTAAAATCCCTACTGCTTTCTCTCCTTTCCTTGCAGGGATGACAGTACGGGCTAGACAGCTTCTGACTGTTCAGCACCATGACAGTTCTCTGACCAATCAGAAGCTATCTAGCCCACTGCACGGAGTAGAAAAGCCCCAAACATTTTAAATCCCCAGATCTGTGAATCGCATTTCATTGTGTGACAGCATGAGGTACTGTAGGTGCAGGGAGGTTTCCCCCACCACTCCTGTGTGAACTCAGAATATGACAAGCCTGGGTTCACGAAAGAGCGGTGGGGAAATCACATACGATTTGGACAGGAATAGCACCACATTTCTGTTCAAATTGCATGCTATTCTTTGCAGTGCGATTTGCGCTCATTCATTTTGTATGGACACAAATCACACCACAAAGTATCGGTTTCCAGTAATGGTAAATACTCGGTATCGGCACTGATCACCGATATCAGTGCATCCCTTGTAAAGTGTTTAAAAAACACATTGATTGATAAAATACCGCATCTGCAGTTTGCACATCATCAGTCCCTTTTTTGTACATGAAGATGCAGACTACATAACAGGCTAGTTGGAAAGTTTGAGAGGCAGGAGACGGCTGGCCAAGCTCAACATTTATGGGCAAAGTTGAACGTTGCATATAACCTCAGCTAATTATATATCAGGATCTACTGATCATTTCACATGTGGTTTAGACAAAAACTAACCCATGCTTACACATTTTCATCATTACACACTCAGTTTGAATTGCTTGGTTAAAGGTAGGTTTACATAACCATCATTTCAGAAGGATATAAGTAATCCACTGCACTTAAGGAGTGAAATAGAAAAAAAAGATTTTTTTTTTATATATATTGGTCAATTTCATGCATAGTTTAATAGTTGTAAAGAGAGATGAGCTCCGGCATGTTCCGATGCTCTTCCAAAACAGCGTGGCCAAGCCAGTCACCTGTAATGATCCAATCATCTGCAGCCGAGGTCTATTTTGCATATACACACCTACTTTCATGTGTGCAGCTGTAGGGTGGGGAATGTCCCTGCCACAAATGATTGGCCCATTACAGGTGACAGCTTCCTAGCAGGTTCGGCCACATAGGTTCAGAAGAGTATCCGAACACACCCAAGCTCATCCCTAGTTCAAACAAGCCTATTGTATACAGCAGGGGTGTCAAACTCAATTTCATTGAGGCCACATCAGCATTATGGGTCCCCTCAAAGGGCCGGCTGTATCTGTAAGACTAGATGTCCAGAGTACCCCCCCTTACATTAAATGTCAAGAGCCCCCACCCTCCCTTACATCACAGTGCACACCCCTTTACCTTGTGCTGCTGCTGGGAAGAAGCTGGGGGATGAGCTGGGAGGCAGAAAATGCATAGTCTGAAGGAGGACCAGAGGAGGGCTGGAGTCAGCTGCCAGAGTCTGCTGATTGCTGAGACCAGGCAAGGCAGAGACGAGGGGGTGCTGTAGCTGCACCAAAAGGCACAGGATCTATAGGAGGAGTTTTGTCCTCCTCTCTGCTGCAGACTGCTGAGACAGGGGGTGGCAGAGACAAGGCTGTCTGCAGCTTTACAGAGAAGTGCAGGATATGGCAGGGGGGGTTTGGTCCTCCTGCCAACTGCTGAGACAAGGTAGGCGTGAAGATGAGTTGGGTTGCTGTAGTTGCAGGAGAGATGTGCTGCCACATGAAATGGCCTGGGGGACCGGGCCTATACTTTTATAGCAATAACTTAGCCTTTTTTCAAAATTTCCTTTTCATGTATAATGTGCATGATCATGTCTTTTGTGAGCATTGTATCAGAGTTTGGATGTTGCATTAGGAGAGGAGGGAAAAGGCCATGGGATATAATTATACATAGGAGATAAAGAAGACTGAGCAAAATCTGATCTTAGATGGTTAGGAGAATGAGCAGAGAGGATCTCAGCTCTCAGCATAGTTCGGGGTCACAGGGGAAGACTATTGTAGATGAAGGGATGGAGGTAGAGCTGATCATTGACTGGGGAGAGAGAAGGTAGAGAAAAAATTAATTGTTGCTGGGCTGTGGGAGACAAGGAATGGCAGCCAATCGTATTCCAGTGGGTAAGGATGCAAAGGATGAACTGTTTACGGACCGGAACAACCATTCTCAACCAGGGTTCCTCCAGAGGTTGCTGGGGATTCTTTGAGCTGTGGCTGATTGACCGCCCATGGTGC